TCAAATATTCTCAACAAAAAAATAGCATTAGAAGTTCAATAGGGATTACATTGAATCTGTGGATTGTTTTGGGCAGTGTAGACATTTTAACAAAGTTAATCCTTCAAATCCATGGACACAGTATATCTTTCCATTTATTTGTGAGACTTAAATGTAAGACCAGAAATCATAAAACTCCCAAAAGAAAACACAGGCAATAAACTTTTGACACTGGTCTTAGTGATTTTATTTTGGATATGTCTCCTTGGGCAAAGGCAACAAAATCAAAAATAAGTAAATGAACTACATTAAAGTAAAAAGCTCCTGCTCAGTGAAGAAAAAAATCAACAAAATGAAAAACAATCTACTGAATGGGAGAAGTTGTATGCAAATGATATTTCCCATAAAGGGTTAATATGCAAAATATATATGGAACTCATACAACCCAACATAAAGAAAAAGACAATCTGATTAAAAAGTGGGCAAAGGATCTAAAGAGACATTTCTCCAAAGACATACAGATGGCCAACAGACATATGAAAAGATGCTCAGCATCACTAAGTATCAGGGAAATGCAACTTAAAACCACAATGAGATAGCACCTCACTCCTGTCAGAATGGCTATTATCAAAAAGTTAGCAAATAAAAAGTGTTGGCAAGAACGTGGAGTAAAAGGCATCTGATCTCCGAAGCTAAGTGTCGGGCCTGGTTAATGCTTGAATGGAAGACCACCTAGGAAGACTGGGTGCTGTAGGTGTTAAAAAAATAATAATAATAATATTTTTTTAAAAAAAGGAACGTGGAGTAAAGGGAACTCTTGTGTACTGTGGCAGAATTGTAAATTGGTGCAGCCACCATGGAAAACAGAATGGAGGCTCCTCGAAAAATTAAGAACAGAACTACCCAGCAATTTTACTTCTAGGTACTTACTAGAAAAAAAACAGAACCACTCATTCAGAAAGATATATGCACCCTAATGTCCACTGCAACATTGTTTACAATAGCTAAGAGATGGAAGCAACTTAGGTTTCCATTGATAGAAAAATGAATAAAATAGATGTGATATACATATGTGTGTGTATATACATATATATACACACACATGCACACACATACACACACATATATATACATATACAATAGATTACAAAAAAAATGATATCTTGCCAAGTGCAATAATATAAATGAACCTAGGGGGTATTATGCTATGTTAAATAAATCAAACAGAAAAAGAAAAATATCATATGATTTCATTTATTTGTATAATCTAAAACGACAACAATAACAACAAAGCTGAACAGACTCATAAATACAAAGAGCAAAATAATGGTTGCCAGAGAAGAGAGGGAGGGGAAATGGAGGAAAAAAGTGAAGAGAAATAAGAGGAACAAACTTCTAGTCATAAATAAGTCATGTGAATGTAATATACAGCATACAGAATATAGTTAAAAACCCACCTTTGTTTAGTGACATGATTCATCATGGTTATCACATGATAATGTGATAAATAAATGTCAAATCACTATGTTGTACATTGAACACCTGAAATTAAAATAATGTAGTATACCAACTATACTTTAATAAATTTTTTAAGTGATTTAGGGGAGAGCTTGGGAAACTCTGACAAAGGTTAAGGTAAGGTATAAGTTATTATAGAGCTGAGAAAAGAAAGATATAAAGTCATCCTAATAATAATAAACTTTTTCTTATTACTCATAGTCAAAGAAATAAAATACTAATGACTAAACTAAAATAATTCTCCAGAAAACCTGCTGGAAATAAATACATTTAGTAGAACTATAACAATAAAAAATTTATGATGAGTTAAGATCCCGACATGCAGCCTCATTCCAAGAATATTGGCCATTAATAACATTATAAATGAAGAGTCTGGATATAATATTGTCTAAGAGCATTTCCTGTTCAACACTGTGAACTGGCTCTACTCCTTTCTTGCTTATACACAAACACACACATATACACACACATTTGCATGAATATAAAGAGAAATTCAAGCTCATATGAATCATATACTCCAAAGGAACTGAGGGATTCGGTCTGTTAAAAATAGTCACCGATAAAAACAAAATAGAGTTTCCTCAAAAAATTAAAAACAGAATTACCATTTGGTTCAGCCATTCCACTTCTGGGTATATATCCAAAACAATGACATTAGGATCCTGGGGAAATATTTTCACATCTATCTTCGTAGTAATACTATTTACAAGAGCCAAAAGATGGAAGCAACTCAAGGGCACATGAATGGATGAATCAATAAACAAAATATGATGTTTACACACCATGCAATATTGTGTGTTATGTACTTGTGAGTCACCTCCAACTCCTGACAACCTTATGAATGATGTTCACAAAGTCCTAGCCGCAGCAGCCCTACTCAGCTCCTTTCGACTCAAGCCTGTGGTTTCTTTTATGCAGTCAGCCCATCTCATATTTGATCTTTCTCTTTCCTGCCGCCTTCTTTTTTTCTCAGCATTAATGTCTTTTCCAAAGCCCCCTGCTTCCTCATGATGTGCCTGAAGAATGAGAGCACCAATTTTGTCATTTTTGCCTCCAGCAGTATTTCAGGCTTCATTTGCTCTAGGAAGTACTTGTTTGTCTTTCTGGCAATTCAGGATATTTGTAGAGGACTATTACTCAGCCTTAAAACTGAAAGAAATTCTAACACATGCTATATCATAGCTGAATCTTAAGGACACTTTGTTAAGTGAAATAGGTCACTCACAAAAAGACAAATACTGTATGATTCCCCTTATGTAAGGTATGGAGACTAGTTAAATTCATAGAAACAGAAAGTAAAATGATAGTTGTAAGGGACTAGTAAATGGGGGAAATGGAAAGTTACAGTATAATAAATACTGCTCCAATTTGCAAGGTGGAAAAGTTCTGGATACAGATTGCATAATAATGAAAATATATATACTACTGAAATGTAAACTTAAGAATGGTTATAATGGTGAACTTTATGTCATGTGTATTTTACCACAATTTAAAAAAAATAGGCACTACACCAATCATCCCTGATAATACTTGGTTTTCTCTCTAGTTTGTAGCAATCCTTTTAATAGTATTTACTGTGCTGTTGTTACTTTTTTTGTGATGGAACAAATTGTTTTTTTCACAGGAAATGGAAGAATTCACACAGAGCTCTGAAGAAAATGGTATTGTGGTGTTTACTCTGGGGTCAATGGTCAATAACATAACAGAAGAAAGAGCTAATATGATTGCATCAGCCCTTGCCCAGATTCCACAAAAGGTTAGAGAAGGTGCTTTAGAGTACAATACTATTTAATGAGCGTATTAAACTATGTAAAGGATTTGTTACAGAAATTTCCTGCATGAAAGCTTAACTATTATGATAGTTCCAATTTATCTCAAATATCAATTTAAAAACCAAAATATACATGTAGGGTGCTAAAGTAATGCAGAGGGTGTTTCTGATTGACAGTAACTTTGGTATCAAAATTGCGAGCACAGAGAAGTGCATTTAAGAGATACAGTGTGAAGTTTGATATTACAATGTTATTGTAGGCAGGTATAGATATTACCAAATTCTGTCCAGTCATTTGCTCCCTTTCCTTGCAGGACTCCTGAGGGAATTGTAGACACTAGAAGTTCTCATGCAGTTTAGACTTAATAGGTAATCCAGGCCTCTTACTTCCCCCTGAATTTTGAAATAGGCCTATACCATGTGTTATTCAGAGAAAGGATGTCCAGAGCTTTTCAAGCTGCATCCAGGTACCCAAGCTAGCCATGATGATTTAGAGAAAGAGAAAAAGTCTCTGGAGGGCTGGGCTCTGCCAAAGTCTGAAGCAAGAAAGCACAAAAGAAAGGGTGAAGGTGGGTTCAGTTTTATAAAATATGGCCCCTCAATAACTGTCCTCTGACCCATCAGAATAATAAGTGTCCTTGACTGAAGCAGGAGAAGGGAATATAAAAAAGAGTCAACCAGAAGCAAGCCTAGCATGGGACAGTTTCAGATATCTCATTCTCCATAAAATATGATAGTAAATTATTTCTAATATATAAAATACACTTGCAGTTTGGGTATTTTTGAACCACTTGTTAATTTCCTAACTGACGGAGCTTTCTCCTATCAGCTATGCCAGTTTGCTGAAAACCTGAAATCACTTTACCATTGACATAGCAAATAGATGTTAACCATTAATAAACTAGATCCAGCTTGTGAAAATTGTTTAGGAATTCCAAAATCTAGATCTAATTATGGTTCTGGGCTTGGAAAAGCTTTGGCCATTGATGATTAATTAACTATATTAATCAATGCTGTCAATGCATTGTCAACTATCAGTTGAATAAAATTTAGCATCATCATAATATTTGAACTTTTTCAATAGCTATACTTTTATTTATGAAGTACCAATGGGCTCTTCTCTTCTACATTTTAAGAATTTTCAAATCTAGCTATAGTGATAATACCAGATTCATGTAAAAATGAATCATATAAAAACTAAAAGAAGTTAAACATACTTATAAAGCAGAAATTATTATTATTAATAAACTATTAAATATCAGAATAATTTAATTCTCACAAATAGCTGATTGCATTGATTTTGCAAGTCAAAAATGTAAAACTCTAATAAAACAAATTATGGAATTAGTGGATATAAGTACACAACAGAATAACATGAAATCTGGAAGATGGGAGCTAGTGTAATAAATAGTTAAAACAAAATAAATGTGCAGATTATTACTAATTTGCTACTGTTTTATGCACTAAAATTATATGACTATCTAAATATTTTCCATGTTTGAATTGGTCATTGATAATCTAATTTGTCTAACCCTTAAGTGTGAAACATCATGATTGCATTCATACCAGATTGAATATAAAAATAAGTACACGTAATACGAGTATACTTCTTATATCAGTGTTTTATTGATTCTTATCATCTAACAGCTCTTGTCCTCATTTCCTTATTTATAATATGTAAGGGGTTTAATTAGATGCCTCTTAATCTATTAGAATCTAACATGCTATAATTTTGTAATATGACTAATAAGTTATTTTCTTACCCTAACAGGTTATATGGAGATTTGATGGCAAAAAACCAGACACCTTAGGGCCAAATACTCGTCTCTATAAATGGATTCCCCAGAATGATCTTCTTGGTGAGACTCTGGAAAACACTGAAATGAGAGTTAATCTGACAAGAGTGATAAACAGTTCACGAGGAAAAAAAATTATTGAACATTTCTTATTAAAAACCTCAAAAATAAAAATTAACTTCCTTATATATATTTTCCAGGCCTAGAGGAAAAGAATAAGATAAAATGGATGGCATTTTTGTACAATCCCATTCCTTATAGCCAGAAACAAAATATCTTTATTTCATATGTAATTACCTCTCACAGAGACTATTCTAACACTTTCTGGATTGTCACTCTGTCTCTTAATTCTCTCCTTATTTCAGTCCTTTCACTCAGCCTGGGAGTGTATCAGGGGTCACTGAAAAATAACATCTCCTCTTTTATTACTAGTGCCCTCTATTTTCTACAGAAAAAAAATCCCTGATCTTTTTCATTAAGTGATAATACATTTTATGATAGAGTATAGCCTATCCTTTCTCTGGTTCCTTGTCACCAACGTCATACTTCCTGCTGCCTTAACAGACTACTTATCAGACTCAGAGACTTCAGTATTTCACTAAGAAAATATATTCTAACATGCCCACCAGTTTTTTTGCATACATTTTTTTTTAATCCAAATTTTCTCTTTCATTTGTCCATTGGCAACTTGTATTCATTTTTCAAGTCACAAGAAACACACCAATCTTCTATGAAGCCTTCACTATCTCTCCAACAGACTTATGTGCCTCTTTCTTTGAGTTCTGAAAGACATTTTAATGCAGTCTGACGTGTATACTCATCTGTTATCTAAATACACTGTCTATTTCAGTACCTTATATTGCCCTACACTCATTTCATTCTAAGATTTATAATTAATAATTTGCTGAAATTCACCCAATCCTAGGTCATCCAAAAACCAAAGCCTTTATAACTCATGGTGGAGCCAATGGCATCTATGAGGCGATCTACCATGGAATCCCCATGATTGGCATTCCTTTGTTTGCGGATCAAGCTGATAATGTCAGTCACATGAAGGCCAAAGGAACAGCTGTCATAGTGGACTTTAACACAATATCTACTACCAATTTGCTCAAGGCATTGAAGACAGTCATTTATGACCCCTCGTGAGTATTACAATTTTTTCATAGGTTCTCTTGTTAACAGTAAGTGTGACTTTCATCCTATTTTTAGAAGCTAATTTTGAAATTAATATGATTTAACCCATCTTAACCCCATTTTTATTTTTAATCAAACATTTATTTCAAAGTTTCATTTTAACATCATTGATTTAATAGGTAACCAATTAGTGCAATGATTTTCTACACATACACAAAAAATGTAAAGTTATGTAGGTAATTGTAAAAAAGAAAAACACATTCAAAAAATACAATAGAATCATAGGAAAAAGAACTAGAAGAAATATCATAAATTAAATCAATTCGTGACCCAAAATTTCTGAAATTATCTTTTTGCTCAAAATTGACTTTATCATTATTTTAACAATTTTGTAATAAAATATAATTTATATACCATAAAATTAACCTGTTTAAAGTATAAAATTTAAATATATAGTATGTTTACAGAGCTATGAAACCATTATCATAATATAAATTTAGGACATTTTTATCACCCCGAAATGGAAATGTCATGTCTTAGAATTCACTTCTCATTACACCCCCCCACACACACACACACACACTACACACACACACACAACTATTAATCAACTTTCTATCTCTATGGATTAACCTTTCTGGGCATTGCATATAAATTAAATCATACAATATATGGTCTTTTGCAACTGGCTTAATTCATGTAGCATAATGTTTTGAGTTTCTTCCCTGTTGTAGATTTGTATTGCTAAATAATATTTTATGATATGAATGTAGCATGTTTTATTTATTCATCTATCAGTTCAGAGGCAGTTTAATTGTTTCTACATTTGGCTACTATGAATAATGCATTTTGTTTTTGTATAAACATATGTTTTCATTCATTTTGGGTAGATATCTACAAATGAATTCTGGGTCATATAGTAACTTTATGATGAACTTCCAAACTGATGTCTAAAGGGATTGAACCATTTCATACTCCTATCAGCTGTGTATGAGGGCTCCACTTTGCACATCATTGTGAATACTTGTTATCATTGTCTTTTTTATTACAGGTATCTTAGCAGGTGTGAAGTAGTCTCTCCTTGTAGTGTTGATTAACATTTCTCTTATAGCCAAAGATGTCGAGCATCTATTCTTGTGTTTATTGGTCATTCATCTATCTTACTTGGAGAAATGTCTACTTCAATGCTTTGTCAATTTTTAATTGGGTTGTCTTCTCATTATTGGATTGTAAGAATTCTTTATATACTACAGATACAAATACTTTATCAGATATTTGATTTGCAAATATTTCCTCCATTCTAGTTGGCTGACTTTCACTCTTATTGGTGTCATTTTAAGCAGAAAATGTTTTAATTTTGATAAAATAAATCTTTAATAATTAAATTTTTCCATACTGCAAAGGAAAATAACATTATGAAATTTGTAGTGCCTACCTAGCACAGTGACTATCAATTAAGCATTTATTACTACTCTCAGCATTATTCTTATATTAAAAAGGAAACACCTAAGGAATACTTTAAAAATTTATTATCAAGAAGAAAACAATAGAACAATTGAATTAAAAAATACTTTTAAAGGAAGCAAGAAAGAATAAAGAAAGAAAGAAAAAGAAGGTTGGACAAGTATATAAATAGAACATTTTAAAAGACATTTCTCAATAATATAGGAAAAGATGAAAAAATAATAGGTACAAAAAATATTTGTAGAATATATATGTAACTTTTAAATCTGTTTAAAATGTAACTTTTTATCTATGTATCTATCTATGTATAAATAAATATAGTCCACAAGCTACCTAGAAGCACCCCATTCCTAGACTCTTTCACTATTCCCTTTCCCACATATAAAATGATGGGAAAATATTTTTCAAGTGCATGTAAATTTATTAATGAAATTGACCATATATGCTATAGCATAAACCAAGATGCAATATTTGAAAATTTTCATATCATAAAGAGTAAATTGTCTGGACAGATTAGAATTAAGTTAGAAATCATTAAAAAAAATAACTAAAAAAATCTCCAAATTTTGAAAATTAAGCAATACATTTCTAAATAATTCAGCATCAACCAAGAAATCATAATCATACATGCACCTTCTCATCAAATCCACTTCTAGGTATATATGCAATAGAAATGCATAAATATGTAATCCAAAAAGCATATGTATAAAAGAATGTTTATAACAGTATTAGTAGTAATAACCAAAAATTATTAACAATCTAAATGTCCATTAATTATTATATTAAGAGATAATTTGTGGTATTGTCATATAATGAAATACTATATAGTAAAGGAATTAACCAACAATTGCTACAGAAAAGACAAAAACAAATGAGCATATATTATATTACTCCAATATATAAATAAGAAAAATTAATTTATGGTATTAAAGGTCAGGATAGTAGTTAATTTGGGGAACAGAGTAGTGAAAGGGTCCAGGAATGGGATGCTTCTATGTAGTTTGTGGAATCTTTTATCAATATCTGGATAGTGGGTATACTGGTATTTTCGTATCATGATAATTTTCTTGCTAATTTTGAAATTTTGAGCTGACCACTTAGTATATATGCATTTTTCTTATGTATTTCATACATGAATTGAAGGTATATTTTACCAAATATATTTTATTTAGAAATTCTAGGAATCAAATGGTAAATATACATATATATATATAAGATAGAAGAGGTTGCCAGGGGATCTGTACATGTAAGGTCCTACAGGGCAAGGAATAGATTTGGGTCTTATTCTAAATATGATGAAAATCCAGATAGAAATTTTGAGCAGGTGAGTGTCATAATTTGATGTTTTTTTAAAAAAAATTATTCTGACTAGAGGACCAAAAATAAACAGTAGAGTTATGAAGAGAAGAGTAGAAGCATAGAGACAGTGAGGAAGCATGTCTCCTGCCATGACACAATTCCTCTTTAAAACTTTAAGAGCATTATACTAAATATTCATCTCCACCTTCCAACATATAGCATATTGAGTGACTCCTATCATTTCCTCTGCTTAAAAAGATTTTAACTTTCCCATCTTATCTTCCATCTTCACTTTTTAAATATTCGTCAATCGGCAAATTCCAATTTAGAAGTCAAACTTTCTTGAGACCCAAATAAAACTATACTACTACTTCTGTAATTCTAAGGCATGTATTTTAAATTATTTGACAAAAAACTTTCATGGGTTTAAATTGCTTAGGCAAATTATCTTCCTTTCATTGTTGATATCTTTATGTTTCTCAATTAGCTATAAAGAGAATGCTATGAAATTATCAAGAATTCACCATGATCAGCCAATGAAACCTCTGGATCGAGCAGTCTTCTGGATCGAATTTGTCATGCGCCACAAAGGAGCCAAACACCTGCGGCCAGCCTCCTATGACCTAAACTGGTTCCAGTACCACTCTTTGGATGTGATTGGGTTCCTGCTGGCCTGTGTGACAACTGCTGTATTTGTCATCACAAAATTTTGCCTGTTTTGTTGTCATAAGTTTGCTAAAACAGGAAGGAAGGAAAAAAGGGAGTAGTTGTATATGAGTCCTGAAGCTGGTATGCCTCATAGATGGGACTCCTCTAGTTTATTCCAGCAAGAAGAAATTGTGATGTAAAGCTCTCTTCCTCCTGTGACACAACAATTTTTCACAATTTAGCTTCTCAGATCAAAATTTGTTTTCAAGTGATTTACTACCTGTTTGAGTTAGAAATATTTCATTCCAAAGAGAAAAAATGGGGGGAAATTAAAAATTACAAACTATATAGGTTTAGATTGAAATTTACCATTCTGATTTAAAGCAATAGCAAAAAAAAAAGTTATTGAGTGTAAAATGTTTCACATATTGTGCACAGATGGACACAAAAACATTAAGAAGTCTACTCACAGCATCCATATTATTTTGTGGATATTCAGAATATTTTAATTTCATTTTGGTGCAGAATTTTGTAGCTTAACTGTTGCAAAGGAAACTATTCGATCATTAGAATTCTGCAGATAGATTCATCCTTCCATTTCATTTTGGGAGACCAGTAATGCCCCTTGGTTTTTACTGTGCATCCAGCCTCAGTATCACTTGTTACCTAAAGACACAGGAAGCCATTTGCCTTCATCCAGTTTAACTCATTTCTCAGTGGAGTGTTTGTTGAATTAGAAATATAACAATTGTTACTTGCTTCCTATTATAAAATTGAGCTATTTGTGAGTCTTCGATTTTGCAAACTAATTCTCTTTTTCTCATGATCTTTAAAAATATTCGTCTGGTTACTTTCAGTCTCATATTCAGCCTTTGATAATGGTTGTAAATTCTCAATTGTATAGTATGATAATAATAAAAAAAACTGTATTCTAAAGGGACTTATTGAATTTTCATTCTTTCCAAATATATTTGAATATATATAAAGAAATATATATATTCTTTCAAAACAAGTCACAGCATCACTTAGCTACTTACAGATATGGTGCAAAATTCAATGTGTTTGTTGAACACAATTTAAAATAATTCTATATAACCATACTAGATCAGCATGTCTCATTCTTTTGTCTCTTTCTTCAGGAAACTATTGTCCCATTTCTCTCAGAACTCTTCTATATAAACACTATTTTTTTTTGTTATTACAAAGAATAATATAATCATCATGTTCATTAAACCTAGGCATACTATGACTGACATAATCAGAAACAATGAGAATGTGAAAATGACAAAAATATTATGGAAAATGGGTAAATTAAATCAAAGGCCCTCCTAAAAACTGCACACTAGCACAGCATTTTATGATCAAAATGGTCTAGAGTAGGAAAAGTATTTACTGGCCTTTATTGGTCAAGAAGATCACTATCAAAGCCTTGCAACCAATATTGTCCAGACTAAGGCATGAAATCTATTTTAAAAACAAATTAAAACTTTGGTGCTTGGGGAATTACAGAAAAAATTTACCACAGAATTTTTCATGCAACTTCTCTAGATATTGCCACATTTAAAAAGAAAAAATAGAACTAATATAATGTTATAGTATATAATATTATTAAATCACGTATTTAGGTTTAAATAATTTACTTCAAATCTATCCTGCAACACAGGTAACAGAAAAAGTATTGGTATTCATTTTATAATGAAAACTGCTACAAATCCCCAAGAAAAAGTCAAACAGTCCAAACTCCATCTATGAAAATAGATGAAGAATATAAACTGGAAATTCCCAGAAGTAAAAAGGTCAATAACATAAAAAATGACAAAGGTCACTGGTGCTTTGGGAAATGAAAAGTAAGTCATTAAGTTATTTTCCTATAAGTAACTTGCCAAATAATCCAATAAAACTAATTTTGAGGAAATATAATGAGGAAATACCCTAGGCCTCAGCTTCCCTACCAGAGAAATGCAGATAAACTAAATGATATTAACTACCTCATGGGGTTGCTGAAAGGATGTAGGTGTCAACATTGTAAAGCAGTAAAAATAGTTGCTATATATAAAAAAATGTAATTTTCATTATCATTTAAATGAATAGAAAATTTTCTACAATGATTTTAATCTTCACAAGAGTTACTTAATATAGTTTTTCCTTTGTGGCCTTAACCAAGAGGACAGTAGCATCAATGGCTCTAAGGCAAGGAGGGTATTCCCAAGCCACAGTGTCCAGCTGCTGACCATAATATCATCAGGGTTTGTTTGGGGCTGGACACTCCAACAGCATTCCCTTCCTTTTAGGAATACCAGGTGCTGTAGGTGTTTAAAAAAATAAATAAATAAAATCCAACCTTTTCATTTACTGAAAGGTAAAAGACAATCTGATCTTTGAGATGCCCAAGAACTGGTGGGTTTATTTAAGTCTCCTTTAAAGCTTTAAAGGCTGTCATACTATTCTTCCCATAAAATTCAGGAGTGTCATTTTTTAGCAAAACACACAGAGGTTTGGCCGTGAGAGAGAGATTTGGCAATAGCCAACTAGTCCAAGAAAACCTTCCAACTGATACTTAGTTTTGGACCTTGGGAAACTTAGTCAGCATGAAGACTCTGGATTCAAGTGTAGTCCTTGTTTTGATATTAGATGTTTTAAATAACAAACTTGAGTTTGGACAAATTGTAATTTTTCTTTAGAGAACTTATGTTTCTTTAAAGCCAAAAGTTGTAAGAGGTAGATGTTTCTTCCAATGAGGAGATCTGGTAAGAGCAAAGAAGGAAATCATCCGCTCGTTGCAACAAGGTAGAACCTTTAGAAAACATTATATCATCCAAATCAGTCTTCTGCAAAATTAGAGGGGGTTTCAGTAAAACGCTAAGGCATTACTGTCCAGGTAAATTGTTTTCCTTCCCAAGTGAAGTCAAAAAGGTATTGGCTACCTTCATCAACTAAAATACTAAATAATGCACTGCCTAAATCGATTAAAGAATTTATTTCCAGTTTGGATAGATGCTAGCAGTGTATACTGTTAGGAACAACAAGATGTCAAGGGATAACAATGTTGCTTATTGTTTGAAGGTTCCAGACAAACCTCTACTCTCATCTTTCCAGCTTCCTCACAGATAAACTAGGAGTGTTACCAGGACTAGTGCAAAGATTAATAAAGCCCTGAGTTATGTAATTTTCTATTATGGCTTTTATACTGTGAAGGACCTCTTACAAGACAGTGATTAATTCTAGGAAGAAGTTTTGAAGAATCGATTTAAATTTTCTAGGAGATGCACTGTGGATTCTGCCAATACTAGTTGAAGATTTTGCCCATAAAGAAGATGGAAGTTGAGGAGCATTTAAGAACTTGCTCCCTAGTATATTTGACTCAAATAAACTCATAAAAATTCTCTATAGGTTTGGATGTTTCTTACATCAACATTTACTTGGTGTTGTACAACAGGATTCCAAAGCAGCCCACCCAGGACCACTCTGCAGACCTGTAGCTGTGCTAGGTACCAGCAAGGGTCCATTGTGCCCCACTGGCTTCTTTACATCGAGTGAGCTTGGGTGAGCTTCTCTTGGAATTTCAGGCCTCCATGCTTTAAGTAGCAGGCCATGACCTTATTTGAGCTGTTCTTAGAAAACCCTTGATGTGGATAGGGTTGAGATAACCCAGAGGGCAAAAAAATGTGTTGCTGCTTTTAATTTTAGCATTTTAATTTTATTGTTCACTGAGAGTCTGAACAAAATCTTTGCTGGTTAAATGAGGCACTGAACTCTTTCTTTAGCTATCAAAGAGAAAGGACATTTACTTCCCCAACCTGAATAGCCAATGGGGTGATGATAGCTGTTCAGATCCCTAAACTTAGAGTGGAGTGGATAGATGCCGGGAGTTGTCCAGTGCCGTAGTGTAGCAGATCTCAAAGAAGCTGATGGGAGCCTGGGGGAGAACGGCAGGGTGCCCTCGAATGGGTGCACCCAAAGAAAGCGGCCGGTGCTTTTCTCTGGGTCACAATTCTGGTTGCATCCGGTAAGCTCTTGCTGGTCTTTGCTTGGATATTCTTAAGTGACTACGAATCTTTGTGGGGTTGCTTAAGGAAAAATTTCCTCTAGGGCATAAAGCAATCCTCCAACAGAGATATCCACCACATTTGGCTGGTCTGGAGACATGCATGTAAGGGCTGGTTTTCTCTAGAGTATGTTCAGACTCTACAGATATCACAATCAGCAAAGGAAATTGTGCCTCCGAGACCAACAAACCCCACAACAGTCAGCCTCCCATTAATGACTAACATGGCCAAGATGAAGATCCTCCAATACTTCTAAATTAATTTTTACAAGCACAATTAGAAAAAGCAGGCTATAAAATTAGGCAAAAATCAATGGGGAAAAAAAAAACTATTAGAGACTGTCTCAGAACTTTATGGCCTTCTCCCCTAAGCTACAATGATACTGTGTAAAAGTATTTACGAAGAAAGAAAAAGAGAGAAAATATTTAGATAAATAGATCAACCTGTGATGTTATTTAGCTATCAACCCAGTTCTTTGAGCTATCAAAAATGACTGTCCTTATTTTAAAAGGGGTAAGCCATTTGGAACTTGACTTGTGAAGGACACATGTGAAGGACAATTGTAAAAGGGCTCCAAAACAAAATTTGGAACCAACTGTTCTCTGTTTGTGTATGTTTGTGTCTGTCTATATATGTAAATGTGAGATAATTTCCTACCTTCAGATGGCATTATTAAAATTAATTTAAAGGTGAGCACTTGTAAGAATTGGATATTCTAAACATCTCAGAATATAGAAACTAATTCATATGCTTTTCAAGTTCACATGATCTAAGATTAATCTTTAATAAATAAAAGCTAAAATTTGTTGGTTTAAGTAAAATAAACATGTCTTTATTTTGCATGGCTTTTACAAAAATAAGTCCATGTTAATAACTGACTTTTATGTTTATGAAAAATATTTCTAGAGGTTATAAAATATCCAAGCTAAAAAAACTAATTGATTACTTCTTAGTTTTCATTAGACATTGAGGTTTTTAGGGTTAAAATCTCAATATAAGTAGGAATAACTTTGTGGTGTTTCAGAAGTGCTCGTGAAACACCTCAGAGAATTTGAAATTGCATGGAAAACATT